GACCAGCATAAACCAGCAAAAGGACCAGCATAAACCAGCAAAGGACCAGCATCCCAGCGTCAAAACATACCTAACCAGCATATGCTGGTTTTTTCAACAGGGAACAAGATTATTATTATTTTTTTTATATAGCATCACTTTTTGTATAGCAACACTTTAATAATGAGGTCGTAGGTAAACTATACATATTCTGTGCACTTTACGTCGTTTTGGATAAAATTCTGCGGCTTCCAAATTTTAACGCAAGTATTTGAAAAAATTCGCATTACAGCTTTCGGCCACTAGAGGGAGTCCAAGTACAGTGTCACATCTGCAATTCATTATGCAAACCAGATGTTCAAGGTAAGTCATTATTCTGGGTTTCCATCCAAAGTTGCGAATTTAACTTATGCGCAAAATTAGAATATCGCATAAAACATTTGCGAACAAATCAGAGTCAAAGAGAACTAAATTGTCACTTCCTGATAAACTGGCACTATAAATCACTAAGAAAAGTAGGAGAAGCTACTGAATATAATAATTTTCTTATATAATAAGTTACTTGCGCCTCGGAGCAAACAGACGAAACACAATGAATGCGGTCATTGCTTTCGGAGGTGGATGCTGCTGTTTGTGAGCACAGTCGTGTAAGACATTTCTGGTAGGCAATTATACAGAAATATTTTGATGACAGACTTTGCTCAGGCATTTCCGAATGACCATAACAACATTTCAGATGCTGTGGAATGAGATCGGTCCCCTGGTTAGTCAGGTTTTGCCGTCCCATCGTACAAAGTCACATATGACTTTTTTGATGCGCTTGGAGGAATTTATTCGCAAAATGCATTTCCATCTCCCATTGTTCGCATTAACTCACTTTTCGCACAAGTCAAAAACCACTTTGTGCGAGCGTAAAAACTTCTTTGCGAATTAAGGCATTTTTATTCGAAATTCAGCGTTTCCATCACTCGTTTCTGATGCGATACTTCAAAATGCGCATAAAAGCAGGGTGATGGAAACAAAAGTCATAGCAAATCCACTGCCCATGTATCTTTGACTGCACAATCTTCTTTTAGCTTAAATCACGACTGTATTACACAAGACTGAACAGGAGGCAATGAGCACAGTCAAACTCTGATTCATAAACCCAAAAATAGGCATTTGGTGATTCAGAGTGTGAGATTATGGGTTGAGTATTGGTGTATAATCTATATTGTGAATCTCCTTAAAAGTCATTTTAAAAAATGCTCGTTCACATGATCTATACAATGATTATATCTTTAT